TGAAGTACCTGGAGAACCACACGCTGGCTAAGGACGCTCAGGAGAAGGCCAACGCAGCGCTGCTGGAGTACACGGTGTGCCACTACCCGCACTGCACAGACAAGTTCCGGCAGTTGCTGCTGCGGCTGACCGAGGTCCGGGCGCTGAGCATGCAGGCAGAGGAGTACCTGTACCACAAGCACCTGAGCGGAGAGGTGCCCTGCAACAACCTCCTCATCGAGATGCTGCATGCCAAGCGGACTTGAGTGCAGTTCCCACATGGACTATGCAGGGCCCCATGCAGCAATGGGGCAGGACGTGCACCTGGGACCTCCTCTCTACCCCTCGCCTCTCAGTGATGCTATTTAACCTGTGCTAGTGGAAGGTCCCAGGCGATTTATTTTAATACGTGGTAAGGACAGTTAACGGTCACAGGGACGTGCTCAACAGCCGGCCTGCCCTGCCAGCACTGCAGCCCTGCAGACCCTGCACAGTCAGTGCCTGACCCACTGTCTGACCTGGGTCTGCAATGTGAGCAGGGGAAAGCCTGTCCCAGCTTTGCTCCCATTTCTGCTCCTCTCCTGTCATCCCTGCACTCTGACTCTCCACTGCTGCCCTCCCATTGCCCAGCATGCCCCCTCTGGTGTACAGGGCATGGGAAGAAGTGAGCTGAAATCCCCCCAGGATGTGGGGTTTCTCTTTGCTCTGGCACCAGTACAGTGGCAGGGGATTTCTGCAGCAGCAAAGCTGAGCCCTGGGGCTAAGAGACCTACTCCTGTCTGCTGCAAAGTCACTGCCTGTCCAGCGCAAAGCAGGGGACTGCTGACCCTCAGCTGGCTCTGTTTTCTTAGCGCTTGACAGTGCCATGGCAGGAACTGGGATTTTACAGCCCTTGGCACCTACAGTGCCCAAATCCCATCCATGTCTGGGCTCAGCTCACATCCAGGATGGCAAGGTTTTGTGGAGAGTCTGTAAGAGTCAGCTGAGGACAGGAACTCATCCCTGGGACACTTCAGCTCCCCTGCAGCAGGACAAGAGAGGGTGCAGGGACAGAGGCATGGCCAGGCACCCAAAGCCTGGGCATATTCCTGGAGCTCCCTCCAGCCACCAGCCATGCCTGTGTGCTGCTGGGGAGCAGGCAAAGGGCAGGACAGGGACAGGGATGGGCACCATCCCCTCACTGTCTGCGGGTGATGGTGGTGGAGATGGCACTGCAGGCAGCAGGGCAGGAGGGATGCTCAGTGCCTGGCCTCGTGCTGTGGGCACTGGGACTGTTGCAGCAGCACGTGCCAGCACGTGCCCAGGGCTGCAGCTGGGGCCCTGGCAACACCCCTGACACTTGGGCAAGGAGGAAGCAGGAGGGCCAGCACTGCCTTGTCCCCAGGTGATGCAGAGCACAGAAGTCACGCAGAGATGGCGGTTCTCCTCCTGCACTGGGCTGGGGCTCAGCAGGGCAGCACAGAGGCTCCATCACGGTCTCCTCCTGCCTTGCGCTGTGTCCTCACCGGTGCCCAGCACATGGCCCTGCCAGCTCCACCAATGGGTTTGGTTCAGGTTTTTTCTCCACTGTCCCATTTGGAGGGGACACACACACTGCAGCTCTACGCAGAGCTGGGGCTCGAGGAGCTCTCGTGCTGCCAACTGCCAACCCCAACTTGTTAGATACAGAAGAGCATGTTTGTTTTTGCTTTTCAACGTTTGTGCATTTTCCTCCTGTGGTTCAGTTTCACCTTCTTCTTTCTGTGAACTTAAAGAACTGGAGAAAATTGTTTGGGAGGTAAAAGATATTTTATTTTCAGAAAATGAAAAGTGTCCTTAAGTGTCTCTCTCTCTCACACATCCTTTCCTCTCTCCCATCCCTCTCCCCCTTGCTCCCCACCCTTCCTTCCCAGGCAGGAGGTTATTAACTTCCATGTCAGGAGTAAACCACTGTAATAAATTTTGCAGTTCATTTAAGAAGGCAGACATTGTCTTTTTTGATTGTATTTCTGACACTCCTTTCTGGTGCCACTGCTCCTCCCAGCCCCAGGGCACTGCTCAGCCCCCCAACCCCCATCCCGTGGGACCCCCAGCAGGAGGGGACCACTGCTGTGGCTCAATAGGAGGGCATCAGTGACTCAGGACCTGATTCCAAGTGCTGCTGTGAATTGCCATAGCAACTCTGAGTGTGTTTTGCAAATAAGCCTGAGAATTATAGCATTTAGGAGGCAATGGGCAATGCCATGTGCTGAGGGAGGGAGCAAAACCTCAGCAGGGCATCGAGCAATGGCTGTGAAGGCAGTGCCACCTGGCAGTGCCCCAAGCAGGGACTCCCCAGCCCCTGACAGCTGGAAATGCTGACACCAGAAGTGGTGTTTCTGCACCCAGATTGTGGTTTTTGGCCAGTACAGAGCTGTTTTGAGGGCTGCGGTTTCCACCAGCAAATAAATGCCATCAGGCACAAGCTGTGCTGAGACCAAGGAGGAACACAGCGTGATGGGGCAGCCAGCCCATGGGATCACAGAGACCCGATCCCTCACATTGCAGCCCTGCACCACTTCCAACCTGTGAAGCTATCGCACGTGGCCATGGATCTGTTCCCAGGGACAAATTACAGGGAGAGAAGGCTGCCTTTAAAAATCAGCATTTACTGTCATCATAACCAGCAAAAAAACAACACATTTCATGTGCTCTAAACACTATAAAGTAACAGGAGAAGCAGTCCAAGGCGCAGAATGGAGGGAGGACATAACACCAGCTGGAGGGGGGAGCAACCAGCCAGATGGGAAACCAGGAGGAGAAGGGAGATTTTTTTGTCCAAAACACGGCCAAAGAAGCTATTAAAGTCAGCTGGTTTAGAAAAGAACTGAAGCGAGCCGCAGTTTTCCCTGGTGCCTGTGCTTCCCATGCAGCCCAGCCCCAGTCCTGCCCAGCAGAGTGATGCTCAGCCCTCAGAGTGGGGCACAGCATGTCCCACACCACATCCTCCAAGTGAAACCAGCTCTGGTAGTGGCACAACCAGTGCTGGCAGCAATGTGGTGCTGGGGATGTGCGGAGTGCCTTCAGCAGCACACGGAGCTCAATGGCCCTGTGAGAACCCCCTGCAGCCCCTGTCCTGCCATGGCTTTGTCTGCACATGATACTTGGAAGAAGCATAGCTAGCAGCTCTCCATGGGAAGCAGCTCCTCTGCCCGCCATCCTCCTGGCTGTTTGAAGAATCACCACAGTTTCACGGCACCCAGAAACCTCCTCTCAGAAACCTAAAGCAAAAGAGAGATGGACTGAGCCGCACTGGCTGGGAGAAGGGCTAGGGTGGCTTCCCACTGCCCTGCTGGGGTCCTGGGGCACAGGCAGAGAGCAGAGAGACTTCTTCAGCTGCTCAGCAGTGACATACACCATACACACTGCACAGAGCACCGTCAGCTCTGAATGCACCGAATAAAGGTTTCAGCAAGATTTAATGTAAATACCAATGGTACTGTGGAAGAGAGCACTGATTCTGCAAGGACTGCGCTTCCCCCACCAAGGCACAGGGCCCTCCCTGCCCAGCAGGGAGGGACAGTAGCACCTAGGGCAGGGAGGGACAGTGCAGCACAGTGGGTTGGCATTTCCCCAGCACCCATGGCACGCTCAGTGCCTGGCTGGCTGCAGATCCCTGAGATCAACCATTTCCCTGTTATTTTAAAAGAAATCCTACTGAAGGCAGTATTGCGAGAGTTTCAGAAATACTCAATATTGATCACAGAAAGGCTGGGCTGTGGAGACAAGATCCATGTTGCTATGTGTGGCTTAGCAACATATAAATGTATTCAAACCGAATAATGAAATTATCGTGGGGAAACAAAGAAGCCATCACTTGAAGAGATGGAGGATGTGGAGGCCTCTTGGAGCTCTTGTTCACCAAGACAAGGAAGACAGCACTCATTGTTTGTGCAAACATGTGAATCCCCCCAGCCATCCCCTTCTTACATAATGGGTGTAATGAATCTGGGCAGAGTGCTCCATGCAACACACATCTTTGTACAGCTGGGCTGGAGCTCATTACTGCAAAAAGCACGCGGCCCCTCCGAGTGAATTGAGTCCTTGGAAGGGGAAACCGAATATTGGGGGTGGGAGAGAGGGAGGGCTGTGGAGGCAGCACTCAGCCCCAGCCTGCCTGTGCTGCAGCCACACTGCTGAACAGTATGCTGTGTTTCTGAACCTGGCCAGGCCTTTACCTGGGCTCAATCTGCCTTCACCCTCACACACACCAAAGTGTTGCCATGAGCCCTTCTGTCTTGCACCATGAACACCACTGGTGCCCCCTGCATGGGTAGCAAGAGCATGGCTGCACTCAGTTACTGCAATGGGGCGAGGCAGATGGATTCCACCCCAGGCCCAGCACCACTCTGCTGGGCAGCTGCAAGCAGGTGCTGCCAGCCCCCAGCTTCCACCCGCATTCCTGCCCTGGTTCAGGCAGGGGCAGGCGGTATCCTCCTGCATCTTTGCATAACCTCCTGCAGGCCTGCTGCTGGCATCATGGCAATCTGCATTAGAGCTGGCTGGAAGTTTTCAAATAAACACATTTGGGGCAAAATACATCTCTCTGTTAAACTATTTGGGGAGAAAACAAATAGAACAAGAGTATTCAGATGATTTGTCTCTCAACGACCACCAAACACAGAGGAGTATGGCTTGCTTCCCCTGGCAGCTGTTTTCTCCAAGAGAATTTTGTGCTGCCAAACAAGCTGAGAAGACCATGTGCAATGCTGCCCTGCCCTGAGGTCATCCCAGCATTGCTGCAGCTGGACGCTGCTGCCTCGTACTTCATATGTTTAATGGCTGGAAGCACTTATCTTTGAGTCCTGTGCCTCGTTGCAGAGCAGCACAGTGCCGTGCTCACTGCCTTGCATGCACACAAGTGTGAGAGGAGGGCTCTTCTGGTTCAAGGAGATCTTCTCCGTCACCCTCAGGCTGAAGCACAGCCCAAGCCGTGGCCCCAGGTGCGAGCAGAGCTGCTCTCCAGGCTCGCAGGGAGCTGTGTGCACGTGGGCCTGCTTCAGCTGCTGCTTCCACTGCAGTTGTGTGATTGCTGACCCAGGGAGAGGGGAGGCACCAAGCCTGGCCTGGGGACTGGCCAGCTTCTGCATGGGCCCTGCCAGTTCTCCTAACCCCAAAAGCATGGGCACTGCGAGGGCTCCATCCTCCCTTCCGTGTGCTCAGGGCTGTGTGTTTTTTTAAACATATGCTGGGGGCTTACCTGAGAAAGCAAAAACAAGCTAAACAGCCCACCTCTTTACACAGCTGGAGTTTAATTACACATGTGGCTCATTAAAATAGGCAGGAGCAGGTGAGGCTGAGATGCACCAGTGCACCTGCTCAGCGTGCACAGTGCTGAGCCTGGGACTGCAGCACATTTACTCCCAAACACTGCTGTCTGCCTCGTTCATGTGTCCACTGTGGGGAGGAAAGCTGTAAGGCTTCTGGGTGGCATCTTCTCGAAAACAGTCTAAGCTTGCCCTGCTTAGACACTTAATATGGAGCAAAATTAGAACCTGCTAATGTACTGCATCCCTTGACAAAAGAAAATGTAACAACAAAGAAAAAATAATATCAATCCATCCCTGCTGCTTCTTCCCTACACTGTCTGCTTGAGTGACCCCATCGAGAGACTGCATTGAGAGTGCTTGCAGTACTCATCAGTGACAGACAAAAAATAAAACAAAACAAAATACACTGCACCTGTGTGCAGAGGAGTCGGGGACCTGCCCAAAGCCGGGCAGGGAGCTGAGCTGCTGCCAGCCCCCCCAGCACTGCAGCTCAGCAGAGGTCTGGGGCTTAGAAGGGATTTCTGTTTTCAGTTCTACCCACCTTCATGGTGACATTGGCCTTTCTACAACCTGAAACAGAAGAAGCTAAATGGCTGCTTTTAAGCTCATAAATCCATCCCTGTCTGAACACCCCATCTTTCCTGGCTTCCCTTCTCCAGGAGCAAGTTGCTCCTAACACCCGCCCATGATTCCTGCAGCAGCTGTTGCTTTACAATACCCTGTGGCATTAAAAAGCTGCTGCCACCCCTGGAAGCAGACTGGATCTAGCCAAGCAGCCTGGGGTGCTGGACCCTGCTCACTGCTGCCTGGTGCCTGCACGCATCTTTTGCATGGCTGCTGCCTTCCAGTCTGTGAGCCACAGCTTCACTGATGTGCAGCAAATTGCAGACAGGTGGAGGCAGCAGGAAGGCTGCAGAGACGCTGGAAAAAGCCACATGGGTGCTGGGAGATGAGCATGGCTGAGCTCTGCAGGGCCTCTGGACACACCCTGCTCCTCACACCTGCTGCAGCCCTGTTCAGGGCATGCCTCAGCACCTTGCCAGGACTGCAGCCACCAAGGCATGATGGAAATAAAACACTTCCTAAAGTCTGAGCAAAAAAACCCGCCCTCCACCCTCCAGTCCGTGCTCCACAATGCAATCAGAGGAAGGAGTATTGGCATAAAATAAATTGAAGACGAAGAAGGAAATTTTACCTGAGGATTTGAATGCTGTCAGCTCTACAGCCTGAAAGAGGGGAGAACGTCTGTTAGCAGAAGGCACAGGTCAGTCTGCTGCATGGTTGGAACCCCCAGCCCCCCGCCAAGGCCACCAGGGCTGCTCACAGCACCAAGCTGCCCTCCCTTGCAAGTGAGCTCCTGCAGTGCCTGCACCCGGCCCCACAGTGATGGGCACTCTGCAGGGCTCCCTGCAACTCACTGCACCTCTTGGCAGCTCCACTACTCAGCCCCAGCCCTGGTTGACCTGCAGCCTGGGCACTTGCTAGAGGCATTGCAAAAACCATGAGCAGAGCAGAGAGAACTTCCTTGTGCATGAAGAAGTCCACACATAAACTTGTTCCATGTGCCCAAGTGATGGTTAATGCTCCAAGGTGTGAAATTCCTGCTCCCAGCCCAACAACAATAAATATCAACAAATAACATTTAAAAAAGCTGAAACACAAAGAACATCTTGTCTGTGTTTGTATCTTCACTTGCTTGGTGTTTTGTCGTTTTAAGTGTTTTCAAACGTTTTTAAGTAGCATCTTCTCTTCATCCAAACTATTGTGCAGCTGCCAGCGACATTCTTAATTCACAGCTCCTCCAGAGAGTTACATGACTCACTTTGGCAGGGAGCAGGAAAACAGCACTGACTTATATAACGCAGCAAGCAGTGCCCATCAGCCAGGGGTGGCACGATGCAAGGCCCTGTGCCCTGCCAACCCTGCTGCCCAGAGTCTGATGCTGTACAGAGCTGCTCAGCAGCGTGGGGCTCATGGCTCCACAAGGGCACAGGTTGGCATGGGGAGCAGTGCTGTGTCCATCCTTGCCCCCTAAGGTGCAGGCACCAGCCTGGCCTGCTGCATGCTGCTGAGCACACCTTCGTTAGCAAGGAAACAAAATGTTTAAGCAGCAACAACACACTAAAGTCCTAGGTGACCCTCATATAGAGGAAAGCAGTTTCTGTCTTTGCTTGCTAGGAAATGCCATGGCCTTGGCATTTAGGAAATCTGCCTCCTAATACCCCCTGCATTAGACAACTCAGGCCTCTGGGCTAATCTCTTTAGCCCACGTCTCGTATTTTGTGCCAGAGAGCTTAGCTCTGCTCCCCGTTTACACAGCAAACACCTGGCTGGCTGAGAAAAGCATCACCTGTGAATCCTGGTCGGTGTTTAGCATGAAGGAGAAATGGCATTAACCGCAGTATAAACCACGGGAGATGAAAATATGGATTTTATTGAGTGGCTTCAAAATGATATGCCAGCTATAGAAGTATTATCTATTGGATAAATAAGAGCTGTCTATGTGACACAGGTTTTCAAAGGATAAATATTAGAGAGGGAGAGAGAGATCCTTCAGTGAGAGACTTATACGAAAGTAGTGTTGGATTTTATTCTGAGGAAATTACAGCACTTGTAAGTCAAGTGCACAAGGATTGATGATCATTTCAATAGTGGGAGATGGAAGTGGTATCAGAGTAGTCAAATTTAAATTGTTCTCCACTTTAGGCCATACCTTGCTGAGCTCTGCATCAGGCTTCTGCCAGGGAAGTGAAATGGCTGCAGAACACAGGGCCACCCTCCTTGGTTGGATACAACCTGGCTGCTGCACAGACAGCAAACCCCTGCTGCCTGTGTTAAATCTGCAGTCCCTGGAAGAAGCCTCCTGCCTTGATCTGTACCAGCCTCTGCTCACTGCTTTACATACTCAAATTCACTAGCTCCTGTTCATTTGTATCCCCTGCCATAGATCACCCTTCCATCACACTCCCCTGCTGGAGTGGGGCTGCAAGCCCTGAGTGCAGCTGGGAACATAGTGGCAGCAGGTCCAGTTCCCCACAGCTCAGAGGAGAGTGCTCTCCTTGAAAACATCTGCTCTGGGGGTTCCCTCCCCACTGCGTTCTCTGTGTGGCTGAAGGTGGACGAATATCAGAAGACATTACCTACCGGTCTCTCTGGTGACTTGATTGATGAAATCCCCATGGGAATTTTGCCTCCAAAGTTGCCTAGGGGACAAAGCAGCACAGTGAGTTTGGAGACTGGAATAGAAATATTCATGCTTTGCCAATAAACTTTGTGCTTTGCATTCCTTAAATATCATCCACTGAACCAAAGGGCCAACCATAATTGCAAGTAAATTCTTGCACCACAAACTGGATGGAGCATGCAACACCTTTTTTCCCAAAAGCTCAAACACCTATTTCCCATCGCCACCTTCACCTACTCTTCTCTAGGAAAATCATTTTTAGACACAAACATGGATTCTTGCCTGAAAATAGGGCAATGCTGCATAATGCAGTTATGAGAACCCTTTTCTCATGCTCAGCCAGCCCACAGGGACAGCCCTGATCCATCTGAGACCCACGTGCTCACAGTCCCTTGCTTTCCCTGGGAATCCTTCATCCCATACTGTGCTCACACAGGCCCAATGTGCAGATGGGTTCAGCACCCTGCCAAGTGAATGCATAGTGATATTCAAGCCTTGGGATAAACATTTTACTGTGGTCTCATGATAGAGTCTGGGCCAAGCGGTGACAATTCTGTTTACCTCTGTTGGTGATGTTCTTCACTGGAGGGTCTTTCTGCAGAGGGTTTGAAGAGGCACTCGCTGCTGCAGGACTCAGTTTCCCGGTCTCCCAGGAGGTCGTGTTTCTTGGACTTGATAAGTAGTTGATGGGATGAGAGCAGTTCTGCAGTGACAGGGAAGAAATTCAGGTCAGTGAAAAAACTGTAACATATATTTACTGGATCCAGATCCAACTTTAAAGAGTGGTTTGATCTACACTGCTACCCCTGGGACTCGGGCTCTCATCCCACACCGGTACAGAAGGCTGTCCCCTAATCTGGGTAGATGATCTTGGGTCTGCATTGTCCAACAAGACTACAAAGAAAGGAACCAGCCTCTGCTGTTCTTCCTACACAGGACAAGTGGGAAGGAAAATAAGACTTCTTTCCAATATTATCCCCTTAAAGGAGTCCAAACATACATAGTTAGGGCCCTCCTCTGATGGTGAAGGATGAACAAATGGGGGCAGCAAGGCTTCTTTACGACTTACTGTGAATGAGAGTGCTTTCTTCTTGTCCTTCATCCTCTGGATGGCATTCCGCACCTGAAGAAAAGCAAGGACATTACAGAGAGACACAGCAACTCAAGCAGAGCAAGATATCCCCCAGCAAGACACGGACAAAAAGCAATAGCTATCCCAGAAGCTATGTGCTAAGTCTGTGCTATGCCCTCTGTTGCATCAACTATAATCCCAGCTGCTGCTTCACTGCTACTCTGAAGAGTGACAAAGCCTCAGTCAGGGGTATCTCTTACCTCACTGTTATAGATTGCATAGACCAGGAATATATAAAGGCCCTGAAAAGGAGAGAGCACAGGATGTTAGAGATGTACAGCTGCTTTGCTGCTACTTTCCATGGGAGGAAATGAGTTTGATGAGTATTAGAATGGTTAAGGATGAGGCTAAGGGGAAGAGGCAGACACTGTGCATGGCACAACCAGGGGAAAGCTGGGCTAGAAGAGCATCCCTGAAGTCAAACCCAAGAACAGTCTCTTCTCAGAGAGTTCAAAGGAAAGGAGGTTTCTGTTCCAGTCCCTCTTCCTTTTCCTCTCCCTCTATCTCACCTCTCAGCAGCAGCAGTTCAGGCACTCAGCAGAAGTTGCTTTGTGCCTCTCTGGAGTCATTTAGGGGGAGCCGGCATCTCCAGCTGGGCAGTGCTGCTCCCCTCACCCACCACTCTCCCACACTCCTCTTCACTCATGCATACAAAATCCTTCCAGAAACACCTCCTTCAGATCTCAGAAACAGAAACCACCAGGAATTTGTTGCAAGGGAAACTGAAGTCCAGGAAGGAGCACTCCCTTCCCGCTGAGCCCATGGACGGGGACCTGGACCATCCTCCCACAAAATGCAGCATGATGCTGTGGACAGTTCCTCTGTCCCATGTAGTGACAGACCACTGAGTGCCAGCAGGAGCCTCTGATGCATGTTTAGGGGGTATTGATTCAGAGGCTTTCTCCAGCCTGGACAGAACCTTCCCAGAGTGGCACCCCATGGCTTGGGATGCACAGTCTTGGCCCCCCTCTTTCCCACCAAACTGGTGCTCCTGTATGAAAGTACTGGGGACCAGCAAGCAAGCAACCAAATGCTGTGCCATGACCCAAAGCTCTGTTCTAACCCACAGCTCGTGTCTCACACAAGCTGTGCAGTGGGAAGGACTCTGGGCACAGCCCAGAGCGAGCACCACCTGGAGGCCACAGCCAGGGGCTAATTACAGCTCCAGACCAACAATTTTGGCCTTAAGGCAGCCCTATCTGGTCCACCAGATTTATGTTATATCTGTAGGGTGTTTGTTATCGCAGCTAGATAAATCAGCTGCAGCAAGAAAAGTAATCCATCTTGTCTTCAATGAGCCTCGCTCTTCATCTGCGAGCTCTTGGCAGGCATAATGGTAGCAATACCCTGGCGCCATGCCACGACCTGTCCTTCAGACAACAACGCTGGTCACTCCTCCAGAGCAGATTTCTGGCCAGGCTGCCAAGGCAGGTCTTCCTTGAAATAATCATTCTGTAGGAAAGTGGAGTGGGGGAGGGAGCGCTGAGGTCAGCGGGGAGGAAAGCAAGGAAGAAGAGGAGGCCCAGCTGCAGTGGCGGGCGGAAGCAGAGCTATGGCACAGCGCTGCACCAGAGGAGCTGCTCCTGCCCCACTGCTGCCCCGCTCCTGCTCTGCTCCTGCCCCACTGCTGCCCACACTGCCTCCTCCCCAGCAAAGCAGAGCTGCCATCTTCCTCAGCAGCCGCCATCACGAGCAGCTCCGGCTCCACTCAGGGAGGGGTCAAACAAGCAGGCGGCCATCATTAGGGAATAACTGCTCAGCACAGTGCTGTGCAGTCCTCCAGATTTGACCCAGGATCTGCTGGGTGAGTGGGAAATACGTGAAATAGCTTCAGGAATAAAGGCACCCGGCCTGAGGCCTTGCCACAGGCAGGCCGCAGCGGCGGGAAGGGCAGCACCTCATTCTGACTGTGTGCTGCTGGGGTCAAGGCTGCAGGGTCAGAGCTGGAGGGAAGGCACATTGCTGTGGTGCCACCCCAGAACACCCCCAGTCATCCCAACTGTACCAGGATGGCTCGTGGCCACCGGGGTCCCTTCCCCACTGTGTCAGCCCGGTTCAGTTCTGGGCAGCTGGCTCTGCTGCTGGTGCTCGGCAGCTGCCCAGGGATGTGAAGCAAGGGTAAGCTGTCAGTGAAGTGCATAGAAACAGCTTTTTCCTGCATCTGTCTCACTGGAATTTCACAGCCCAATGCTTTTCCAGCTGGTTTCTCCTGTGGGGGCAGAGGTGTGAAGCCCTCATAGTATCTGCAGAATTGGGCAAAATAGGAGCCTTGGGCCGGCCCCAGTCCCACTCTCATGGTGGTAGGAGAGGGGCTGCAGCATTGACCAATTTACAGGTTTCTTGCCTTGTTAGCTGGGCAGCACAGGGACTGCTGGCTCATCTTGGTTGGGCTTTGGCCACAGCACTGCAGCCTCCTGGGGTGCAGCACCTCACGATGCTGCTTCTTGCTGGGCTGAGTTCTCATGCTGCCTGGCTGGAGGAGGAGCTGCCAGGTGTGGTGTCAATGCACAGAGTAACCTTGAAAACAGTCTTCATTTTCCTCAGCTAAATAGAAAGCAGTCAAACAAACAACTACAGCAGCAAAACTTTCCAGCACAAAACCAGCACATAAAGAAGCACACCCGCCTTAAAGGAAATCCCAAGGTGATCTATAGAAGCTGTCCTCAATAGGCCAGCCAGAAAAGGAGCTGAAATATGATGTTTTTATCCCAGCTTTTTCTCAACTCCACAGTTGCTCACCAGCATCAAAATTCCTTTTCTAGGGTAATTTTCAAATTGACCTGAACTTAGCAAAGAAGGAGTAGAAGGCAAACAAGCACTGCATATTCATGGGCAAACCCTTGACAGTTTGCCCACACAACCAGACTCACACTGAGTATTAGGAGAAAGAAGAAAAACAAAAGAAGCAATAACTTAGAAAGCAAAGGAAGAAAACAAATCCTTATCCAGCTACCATCTCTTCTCCTATCTCACCCAAGGTGGATGTTATTACGGTTTGTTAGAGGGAGACTCTGCATAAATATCATCCAGAGGACACATTTATTCATTTCAGAAATTTGTTCTTTGCCCTTCTGAAAAACCCATATGTCTAGCATCCATTTTACAGCCACCTCTGTGAGGAGGCAAGGAAAACTGAGGTTGTGTTTAAGCACATGTAGGACAGGCCTACTGCCACCCTTCAGGTACCCTTAATAGCAGAGATGTGGAGAGGCAGCACATCGGCCTTAGGACTTCCCTGTGCGTGAGCTGACAGATGTCTGTGAGCAGCACCCAGCTACTGGAGTACTGCCAGCCACAGGCAGAACATGCCTTGGAGCAACCACCCATCTTGTGAACGTGGCAATAACACCTGCCTTTCACCCTTAGAGATCTGGGCCAATGTTACATTAAAGCCTACCAAGTATGTCAGAAGGAAGCATTGGAATTTTTCTGCTCCATACATAAGAGCTACTGCAGGGTCAATTTTCTATGTGTAGTGGAAATGGTAAGTCATGGCTTGAAGCAGCAATTGAGCACCTGGTTGGAAGGCAGGGCTAACCCAAGGGAGCTCAGGTGTATGCAATATACCTGAGTGACTGAAAGAGGTGGAGCCAGGATCCACCCCTGCCCAGACCTTATTTAAGGATTGGCAGTTATATGTGAACAAATCCTCACTTGTTGCATCTTAGGACCTTGCTACTCTGCTGTCATTGTTGTGCTTTCCATTGCATTACAGTATCCAAAACAAAGAGGCATATGGAGGACTTTTAGAATCAAAATTCCAATGGCTTGAAGTATAGTAACTAATTACTCTTGAATTGGGTCCCCTGGAGTAAAATTTGCCTTCAAGAACTGGACAAGGGATTCTGAAAAATAGACCTGTGAATGTCTAGTACAAAGCCACAGAAATGACTATGTGGGTGAACTCCGGTGTTATTTGGACTGGTGCTGTCTTTGTACCTGGGGCTGGGCTGAGACCGTGCAGCTTCTTCTCTGCTGCCAGGAACTACCTGTATGTGAAGATGCCTCCCTTTTGCATTGGGATAACTCTTTCTCCTGCAAATATCAGGAGCAGTGATGTTTAGTGCTTCTCTAGCTCCATCTACAGCTGCTTTCTTTGAAGGCTTGGAATGCTTTGTCAGCCAGGTTGCTGATGCTTTGAATTACACGTGGCAATTCAGCAAGCCCTTATGATATTTTGTCACCGTATGTCTCTGAGGCTTAGCTTACTGAGGTCATGGGAGTAGTTCCACCTCAGTGCAGAACAGAGCACTCCTTGCTGCTGTAACTAACAACTTATTTTGCTTTCTTAATCACTTACACACTGGTTAAAGTTTTCTTTTTTTGAAGAAACCTGTAAAGTTGGAAGAAAAATGAAGTTCCCTGACATAAGAAACAAGATTTGAGCTAGAAAGCTGTGGCACCAGTAAGACACTCCAGAGGCTGGTGCAGAGGGGACATCAGGTGAATGAGTTGCACAGGGCATATCTTTCATATCTTGGGAGCAGGAGCTTAAGTTTCTTCAGATAAAATAGCACAATTTGGGAAAGTTGGGCCAGACTTCAAACCTGACAAAGTTTCCCAGCTAGTAAGGCAGATAGATTACACTGCAGCATGAGAAACAGCAGGTATCTGCTTGGCTGTGAGGTGAGGATGAAGGTGGCACAGGACTCACCTGGAGGGAGTTGAGCACAATGAAGACGTAAGCCCAAATGATGCTGAGGTGGACAAGGATCCCACACACCCATGTCAGTCCCAGCACAGGCAGCAGCACCAAGATGGGTTTAGCTGTGGCCCTGTGAGAAAGAAAAGCTCAGAGTTACTTGGGCATGTTTAAAAGCAGAAAGTTGCACTGGCACCATACTAGGCTGTGGAGCACTGTGGGTTTTGGAGCACTCTGCCCTGTATTTTGCAATTTAGAAGAGAGCTCTCCTTGTTTTTACTCAGGAGACGGCTCTGCACCCCCAACAAGTGTCTCTGACAAGGTGCTGAGCAAGCAGCACCCAAGATGGTTGCAATGAAACATTCCTTTGCAAGCAAAATTAGAGGAGAAAAACCAAACATTTCACTTCCCAGCCTGCGATATGCCAGCCTTGCTCTTTTTTTATCATTGAGAGTTAATAAGAAAGGAGCTCTTTGACGTCATTAGCCATGAGAAAATAGCTATTCCCCTGGAGTTGCTGCTACAAGAAGGGCTTCTGTAGTTGTTTTACTTGCACATGGATGTCACCCTGCCCTCCTGCACTGCCCTATCTTTGTGTCTCTCTAATTTTGGGAAAATTTATTTATGATAGAAGGGAACAATGCGTGTCTAGCAGGGGTATCTGGCGCCAGATAACAACAATAAAAATTCATAGAGGATGATAAAGTAGTGACTCAAGCAGCAGTTTTTAGAGGTCTCCCTACATTAACTGATTACAGAAGTCCATGTTGCCTCTCCTTCCCCATGTAATTGCCACCGGGGTTCCTTTCAATCCACCAAGTCCCAAGCATTTAGAAAATGCTTTTTATTATGGTAAATAGTCCAAAGCCCCTACACTGGGTATGTGTTCTGGTAAGCATGTACAAGTGCTATGGAAGTAATGACTTTGAACCACAAAGTTCTGTGGAAAGGTCTCCCTTTTTTGACTCAGATCTCCATGAAATTTCAGGAAACCAGGCACTTCATGTCCCTTGGTTCCTGGAAACACTCGAGGCTGCTCCCTCACTCCCCTGTATTTACTGTTTTACAGGCTGTCTGTACACCTGACAGCAAGCTGCTCAGCAGCACAGAGGTTTAACGTCCTCAGTGGTTAAGTGTCCAGCAGAGGAACTGCCTTTGAGTGATGCTCAGCCACTCTAGAGGAGAAAATCCTTTCTGTCCAGACAGCTTCAACTCACAGCCTGTCGTCACGTGCTGTGAGACAAAGACCCTCGGTTTAACAGCATTTCCATCGTCCTATGCTCTAATCAGCCAGTGCTGATCTGCTTACCATATTTGTATTCCAATCTGGTTCTCCAGGCTGCTGTTGGGTGTCAGCATCTTTGCCCTCCTGCGAGCACTGGACACAGTCACCACCACCACCCGGAAAAGCACAAAGGTGTTCACCTGTCAGAAAAGAGCCAGCAGACCCATTAAGGTTCAGTGATCTGAACTCCAGTGCGGTAAGTCTCTTTTCTGGGAAGTCAGTAACTAATTTTCAGAATGTGAAGAGACATGTATTTCATTTTTTCTCGGGAGCAATACTTTATAGAGCTATCTGCACAAGTATCAGATCTGTAAAAACTTATCTCAAAACCTCTCCCACAGAATGTCTTGTTAAGTGGCTACTCTAGTCTCCTTCAATGCTGCACCTTTTTCTCCTGCTGTGTTGTTCTGTTGTGATACTGATAACTACTTCAAGGATGTAGATATTCCCATATGATGAGCAGATCTTTATTTAAGGTGAAGTCACATTTAACCTACAAGTTTATCACCATTCCTAGTCTAACAGACAAAACAGAAACTAGTCAACACAATTTTATTAACTATTTTTAATATAAAAAAATCTGTTTTGATTAAAAAGACTTGTGGAATTATGTGTGAAGTTTAACAAAACTTCTCCATTAAAAACCACAGGGAAAGCCAGTGAGCAAGCATCTTAGCTGCAGAAGTGCTGGTACGGCTGACTCTGCAGTGCTTTCCTAAAACCAGTATGCTGGAATCAGACCTGCCAGGAAGGCTTTGGCACTTACTGCCAGGATGAAGAGAACAGGCCCAACAAAGGCCCAGATGATATTGGTCTGAACATTCAGCCAGCAGTAGTTGTCTGCCACATAGTTATTGAAGGAAGTTGCAAGGGTTACACCCACGATAATGGCTGGAAGGCCTGCACAAATTAAAAAATATGCATAAATAAAAAGATAAATTAGAACCCAGAAGAAGCAAGTATGACCCAAACAGATCAGCTGATCTCTAGGTAATTGCTTCAAAACCCCCATGACCCGACATGCTGCAGCATGAGCCAGCTCAGCCTCCTAAACCCCATGTACAATGTGAATTTACTGCAGCTGAAATCTGTCCCAGCTCTACAAGACGAGATTTATGTGCTATCAGCATCATTTTTTTAGATATAAAGCATTACAAATCTTGAGCCCTGACCAAAGTAATTTACTCAGACTGCTGTTCTAACAAAATGGACAATCAAAAACATAAAACAATGCAAAATACTGTAACTACTTTTTCAGTGTGCAACTAGATATGTGTTTTGCAAGGTGCGCTGACCTAAACAGGCTTCTCTTTAATAGAAATTTGTTTTTTTCAATGAATTTTATGCACCCAAAGGACTCGCTCAGAATAAAGACTGCTTAATCAAAAACGTAACTATATTTTAATTACAAATACAGTAGCAGTTCTCTACAAGAATTTACCATGAGCTTCTTCCTCTGGTTCTTTGTATTGAACCCTTGGTTTTAGAGAAATAACAGAAATGCTTTTTAGCTTACATTTTGAGAGTGGCAAATTGATACATAAGGGTAAGAAAGCCTCTGAGGAACAGTGACAGCAGGCTCTCATACTGAACCACGTCAAGCATTGGTCTGACTGCACCACTTCTGGGGGAATTTCTCCTATTGAAACTTTTGCTGTAGAAAATAATTGATGCATTTTTCTGAGTCTGCAGTGCAGAGGAATCTGTAGATACCCCAGCCTGTCGCATAGTAGAACTTCATTCTCCTGTCTTCACTCATGTTGACTGCTACCACCTTACTCCACAGGAGAAGCCCCTCAACCAGCATCCATGAGAAGGCTGCCATGAATGAGAGATGAAGGAAGGCAGTGACCAGAAAACACAGCACCTGGAGAGAAATCACATACTCCTTCAGGAAGAAAAGCCCTCTGGAGAATTCTGAGAATGTGCATCTAGGAAGAAAACTGCAACACATACATTGCTGTTCTACAACTGCTTGTATTTCCTGAAGGCTTCTCTGGTAAAAAACAAGAGGTGAACTTTCCTGACAGATTGCACATTTCAAACACAGATTCACAATTCTTTCCTAGATGCAAATTACAGGTAGCTAATGAAATGTTAATAGAAGGAATTAAACTTCTGTTAGCTCTGCTAATAACACCTCAGCAGGACTGGTCCTGCGAGGTAAACAGGATGTGTTTTAGTGAACTTACCTGGTTGGTCTTGGCCAATTCACTGAACATGAGCAGAGCTTCTGCTGCAGCTAATGCAAAGATCAGGTTCTTGTGCACAGTTGTTCGTTCATTCTTGGGGACACTGAGGAAGGAGACATGAAGCCCTCAGTTGCAGGCAAGTGAAGGGATGTACGTGTTCTGAAGGGCACTTGCTGGGCTGTGCAGATCTGCCTGGATGATGTGTGATCTCTTTACTATTCACTACAAAGATGACAGTCCAAAGAGGCAAGGGACTGTCATGGTGCACAAGCACTTGGTGCTGGGGAGCACTCAGGTACAGCTCAGCCCTTGGCTGGTGCTCTGAGGGACAGGCAGGGAGTAGGTGGAGGATTCACTGCTATCACCTGGGGCAGATCTCTGTGCTTGCTGAGTGAGAAATAGTCTTTGCTCTGTTTATTTTATAAAAATTAGCTCTATCAGAGCAGCTTTTATGGGAAACATTGTTTGTCTGATAAATGCCTTTCCACGGGCACTGAGGTGTGTGCACAGTTCATGTAAATATCTCCATGGAAACCATGGTATTGCATCCCCTCCCTAGGCAATGCCAGCCTCTCCCTTCCCTACCCTCTGCTGCCAGCAACTGACTGCAGCTCCCCAGCTCTCTACAGCCCATTTACAGAACCTGACACTGACAAGCTGTGCTTTCTGCATTTCTACTGAAGCAAAATATCAAACAAAAACCATACAAAGGCCACAAGTGATAACTCTTCTTACCCAACTACCAAGAATAAAATGAAGGTAACAACCAGGGCACAAAAGGAAACTCCACATCCAATAAAAGTCAAGGTTTGTAGTGTGAGCTCCTCCTTGGTGGTCCTCTGCCCCAGTCATGGAACAACAAAAGGCAAAACCCCCACAAGTTAACAACATGCCGTTTGCAATTCTTGCACCCACCCCACAGACCAGCGGAGAAAGGCTGCCTGCTCACCTCTATCTCATACACTTGCAGTAGCACAGCAAAGTTTGTGGTATGGTTGCAGAAACAGACAGTGGAATCTGGTAGAGATGTCACCACAGAGCAGCCAGCTGTTGACCACATCCCACCAGCATCTGGGCTAACATGTGGCAAAAGAAAATGAAAACATATCGAAATTACCAGCCATTTTAACAGAAAGTCAAGGCACTGAGGGAATTTCATGTGGAGTTGAAATGAGGAAGAAGAGGGTAACAGAGATGGCTCTTCTTGTGGTTTGACCTGTGTCTCAGCAGGTTTGCCTTATTCAGTAGGCTTGCATGGGAAAATTGTTCTGAATGCTTGTATACCTACAAGCCTTTCCAGTAGGTAACGATCATAATCAAGGCTGACCATTTTAGTTGTATGTACCTCATTAAAAGTCACTTGCTTCTGAGTGACTTTTCTAAAGTAGAGAACTCTATACTAGCAGATGTCAGAGAATTACAGATCCTTAATTTTACCTTTACATTTATGCTGTTATGTTTGTTTTTGCAGTGAAAATAAAAGCTTATAAATCTGGTGACCTGAGCAAGAGCAAGGCACCTGAGGCTGAAGTTCCAGAAGGCACAGATGGGCCCCACCAGCTTATCAGGCAGGTCCTGCAGGAGAGATGAAAAAGGTTGCACAGCCACACACTCGCGCATTGCAGACTGATGGCAGCCACCTGCTGGGCTGCAGTGTAGCAGAGCAAGGGCTGTCAGCATGAGACATCACCTCCCGGGGAAAACAGAGGGAAGGTAAGAGCTGGGTGTGGGACACAAAAAACCCAAGAGTTCTGGAGGCCTTGGGCAAAGTCTTGGCACTGCCTGGGGGTTTGGCTGTGCAGTGCTCGTGGTTGAGGTGGGGAATGTACCTGGGTGTGGTGTTGCAGATGGTAGCGCACAGAAGTGCTTATCTCCTGGTAATCGCTGAGCACGGTGGATGAAATGACAGCAGTGCCCGCTGCAGTGCTCAGGTACCTGTGAGGGAAAGCACGCTGCTCAAACAGCGCCACCGGGCGTGCTCGGAAAATAGCATCTGCTTTATACAAGACAGGGCACACAGCGCCTCTGACCCGCCGGCAAAAAGGAAACCCCGCACTCCAGCACCGAGGCTCGGGGGAGCCGCGAGCAGCGCCGTGACGGAGCGCCGGGCCGAGCGGTGGATGCGCGGGCGGCCATCCCCCCCTGGCGGTCAGGAGCTCCGGGACGCAGCGGGGCTCCGCCGCCGGCAGCTGTCCGGCTCCGCATCCCGGCTCCTGTCCCTGCAGGACCTGAACCAGTCAGTGCAGCAGCCCCGCAGTCCCTAACTCACCCAGCGGAGAAGCTCTTTCTCAAAAGCACGCAGGGAACATTGTGGTGCACGTAGCACGTGCTTCCACAGCACAACTCGGGCTGGGATGCATAGAGGCATCTTTGCCTCCCCAGAGCCCTGACTGCTGGGCCCCTTTCTATTTGCCTCCCCGGAAATCTAGGGACGAAGGTGACTGGGATGGGATGGAGCAGGGTGGATGTCACCACAAAGGAGAGGCACTGAGAAACTCAACACGGACTTCAAAATGGATTCTCTCCCACCCCTCTGGTGCAAGGAGGTTTCTGCTTCACTCACTTCTGTCCTCCATCAGAGGCAGCCACGTCTTGAAAGGCAGCACTGCTGCCTGGGCTGGGCAGGCAGTGCTGCAGGGAGCTGTAGCCAAACCACATGTTCTTCACTGTGACCCTGCGGAGACCTGGGCAGAGAGAGCACTGTAGGATGGGTGCAGGTACACAGGGCAGCCCAGGTCTCAGCAATGCTGCCCCAGGACTGGATGCATGATGCTGTGTGTCCCCCACCTCCAAGCTGAGCCTGTGGAGAAGCTCCAGATAACCTCCCCCACTGCCCCTCTCCCTTTCATGGAGTGTGTCCCCTCCATGTGCTCCTCCAGACAGTCTGTGGGCAGAGTAAAGACCCTTCCTGCTGAATGTGCTGCAGAAGTGCCACAGGAAGAACCAGCGAACTGCAGGCTTCATGGCCTACCTTTGGCTTTCAGTCTTTGAATCTCTTCAACAGGAATTTCAATGAAGTCAGGCCTGTCCTCCTCAGGGCTCTGGATTAGGTATGTCTCACTGCTCAGCTGCTGACTGCTCAGCTCCAGCTTCCTGACCTCCATCCCTGTAGCAGAGGCAAAATCGGGCACTGAAACAGAGTTCAGCCTTTGTCCAGAGCTACTGTTCAGCAAAAAGCTGTCAGGATATTATAACCGCAGTCAAGAGTCCAGCAGCAGATGGACCGTGAGCAAGTCCCTGTGAGAAGCTCCCCTGTTCTCTGCACCTCACCAGTGCCACTCACCAACATTTTGATGCTGGATTGTGATCTTTGTCCTCCCTGAGGTCAGCAGTGGGGCCAGAAGTGACACCACTCTGTCACAGAGCTCAACAACAGCCATAGGCCCTCTGACAGCCTGGAAACATGCAGAGAATAACAGAAGTCAACACCTGCACTGCTAACTCACAGTTCTCACACCTCACAATAGTTTTCACAAGTGCTTAGTCTTTGTCAGAAGAAGAGATGTTGGGGTTTAGCGCTTTTGCTTTGCTTTTCCTATGTATGCTCTCTTCAAAGAAAAACATTCCCAGTTCCTTCAGCAGTGGTGAAAAGACTTGCAAGCAGGGAAACTTGCCAGTGTTCATAAATAGCCATTGAAACAGAAAGCAAACGAGCTTCTGGGAAGCAAAGAAACAAACTGCATTTTAGATTGGACTCCTGAATTTTGGTGAAACTGTCAAATGACCCTGAAAAGGTTTTACCACTGGAGGTGAGCAGGACTGGCCGAACTGCAGCACAGCCACCCCTGTGCACAGCAGTCAAAGGCCTCCCAGCAACAACAATCGGATCCTTTCTCCTTTGGCAGATACATCTCCTACACCAGTTACACTGAGCCACGGCTGGTTTTATGCCACTATCAGGAAGCTGTGAGTAATTGTGGACACAAAGACCACAATGACTTGGCTGAGCAATTCTAAGCAAAGAGGCAAACTCTAAACTACCCAGCATCCTTTCATCTCTGGAGGTTCCTGGCTCCCTCGCTATGCTGGCTCAGTTCCAAAGTGCTGGCCTGGCTGAGCTCTGTCACAGTTTTCCCAGAGACAGGTGGAGAATGTGGGTCATACAAAAACATGTGAGCCATGCAAAAGACCCATGTGAGAAGGGAAAAAGCCAGTGAAGAAAATCCTAATGGGGGTGGGATGACGGAAATTCCTCACATAAAATTTGATGGTGATTTGAACAGTATGGGGTCTGGTGACAGACAACGTCTTGGCAGCCACTCATGGAAAATACAACAAACTGGAAGTGCCCTGCCAGAGACAGAAGGACGTGGGAACAAGGAATCTACATAGCACCAGGAGTCTGCAAACTGTGTGCAATTCTGTAAATCTGGGCTGTCAAAGTGGAGAAGTTTGAAAGACCTGAGCTGGCCTTTGGAGTTAACCCTTCTCTAAGCTGGCACAAAGGCTGTGTGCCCATCCTCACTGCGGTTACTCAAGCTCCAGAGTATGGCCATAAAGGACACGCGACTATGCAAAGAAGTCTTCAGCCCATGGTTGTATGCAAGCCAAGGACCTGCACACAGAGCAAATGAGCTGATGAGGCACACAGCTAGCACGTCACCTGGCTGATGGATGACCACGTTTCAATATTCTGCTCTTCCAGGATTAACTCAGTCACTTCCACATAATATTGGCCCAACTGCTCCAGCATCTCCAGCTCCTCTCTTTCCTGGATTTCCACATCAGCAACTTGTTTTAGTAACTGAAGCACCATGAGGAGGTCAGAGGACTCCACAGGTGTCTCTTCTTTCCTCAGAACAGTTGCCAGGACATCAAGAGTACCAAGAGCGACAGAGAGGTTCATGTCTCGGACATTACTTGTGAAGATGTTCTCAGGAATCTGCTGTGGAAAGGATACCTTAGGTCAGTGCAGAGCTGTGATCTCTGCCTGATTGCCAGCTATGCAATGTGCTGGGACCCCTAGCAACACATTGCATGCCCTCACCCTAACACCACCAGCTGGCACACCTCAGGGCAAGGAGCTCTGCCCTGACATTTTGAACTCTTTTGTCCCCCTCAACCTCATCCAACCCAAAGCCACAATTTGCTTAATCACAGCACAAGTTACAGCTGTGCTGGTTGCATTCTCCAAAAGCAGCTTGGAAGAGGCCACAGGCATAATTTTTAGCAAAGTGATGTCAAATAACAGCAGAAACCAGCAACTTCAACAGCTCCTGCTGCTCACAGTGCCCTGAAGCCATCAGCTGCTGCAGGACTCACCACCATCCTCTTTGCAAGCATGTTCACATGGCTGACAAGCAAATGGCTGGATTCCAGCTGAGCTTTTTTCAGTTGCCAATATGCATCTGAGAAGAAAACAAAAGCATAACCATAGCTGTTCTGTCTAGCAGTGTGGCTGACATATGCTCTGCTCAAAAGCTGGGGAATGCTCCTCAGATGCTGGCTGAGCTTGTAGGACAGCCAGGACAAGGAGACCTCACAGCCACATTTTATTTCTAGTACAAGATCCCATCTGGAGAGACAGCACAACTCCTTTGTCTCCTCCCTATGCCCCCCATCAAGTCTGGAGATGCTGGAATTAGGAAGCACCCTGCAGCATGGTATCCAGAAGCCACGTAACTCTATAAGGACCACTTCACTAGTGAGTAACAGTATAATCCATCAGACCACATACTGACATAGCGAAGTCACTGCTAGGGCACATTTTCCGTGCAGTCTCTTCAGAGCAGACACTGGGCCTCCACATTGCTGACTCTGGCCCTAGCTTGGACCCCCAGGAATGAATGCTATGGAACCAATGAATGAATAAATAACAGATGCCATACCCTTTCTGTAGCGACAGATAAAAGGCAGAGATTGCAAACAAGATGTGTGGTGGAATCCGCTGCTGCCAACTTCAAAAACTCGACATTCTTCAACAGGCCCTGTAGAAACACACACAAACAGAAGGCCCACCACTCCCCAGAGACATGTCATGCCCAAGCAAATCTTGTTTCCTGTAAGTAAGCCGTGAGCTCTGTTGAAGACAAAAGCTGTGAACTGCTCTGAATCTAGTCCCACTGCTTTGTTGGAGCAGTGCAGGGACGGGGCCCAAAGTGCTTCTGACATTCAGAAAAAATTGGACAAGGTGGCAATGCCAGGTCCTGAGTTCATATGTTATCAGGACTGCCAAACCAACCTGGTTGACAGACACACCCCTCCCCCAGCAGACCATGGAAACACCAGGTATGCAAACTCCAGAAACACCATCACTGTCAAGTAAGTATTTCTTATGGAAGAGAGAATGAGTTTCATTAGCTCAGGGCATCGGAACAGCTATTTTTGCTAGGGTGACTGCAGGGGTTTTCAGTGACCAAAGGTTTCATGACAGTTACGGCTATAAGGACAATTTGGAAATTGCTCATCCTAGCTCTGGATCTTCTTGCACTTTCCTTCCCAAAGGAGATGGTCGTTTCCACAAATTGCACAAAATTCCCTCACTAGTAGGCTGTGTGGAGCTTAGCTGCCTGCTGGGTTAAACCACAACATTTGAGGGGTTTGTTTCAAAAAGAGGACTTATTGAATTGTTTTAGCTCAGTAAGACTGTATGTGTTACCACAGCCAGCTTACTATTATTTGATACCCTCAGCATGTTTTGTCTGCACCATGCAAAGCCAAGTGTAATAAAATTCTGGTCTATGACAGTATATGAAGTTACTTGATTTGTTTTTTGGGCCTCCCTGCTTGCTGACCTCATGCAGAGGAAGGGAGGACTTACCTGGGCAAAGAAACTGTGCAGTCACTTCCTCAACAGTGCTTTCAATCTCCAGAGCATTCAAGCTCCACCCAAACACAAGCTCTTGTTCTACCATCCAGCATGACCGAACATTCTCAATCTGCTCCACGCTCAGGACTTTCTGCCAGATATGCAAGTCTGTGATGTTCCCACTGAAGGACTCTTTTGCCTTGAAGGTGCCCCCCAGGGAATCTTGATCCTGCCCAATTATGAAAGTGCCCTGGCCGTAGATGGCCTGGGGGGCATCCAGCCCCGCAGTACACAGGCCGCTGGCAGATGCCCTCCTTTTACCATCAGCATAGATGGCCCAGGTCCCATTTTCCTGCTGCCACGTCACACAGAAGTGATGCCACTGTCCATCCGCACGGAACACAGGCAGGTATGGGGAATGGTGCCCATGGACAATGAGAGCAAATCTAACAAAGCCTTCCTCATCAACAAAGCCACGGAGCTGGAATTCATTAATAAAAGCTGGCACAGCATAGGAAAAGACAGTAGCAATTTCCTGACTCCTGGTGTCCCACTGGAGATGGGCACAGGCTGTGACAGCAGGCAGCACTGGGAAGTCAGAGAGCACCTTCACATATTTTGTGTCTGTTTTGACTCCAAACACCAGAACTGGCACAATATGGTTCCCTAGAAAGAGAAATTCCAGCTGGCATGAGCAAGTTTTGCCTATGATTCTTCTTCATCTTCCACCTATACTCACGTCTCCATTTTGGTTTGTGCAGGACCCCATCCCTTTCATTCAGCCAGACAGAACCTCTGATGTGGTGGGACTGCAGCAGTTTGCTGAAGGACGATTGCTCGCTGTCTGGGGGCTCAAAAAGCAGCTGAGCAAAGCGCTGGTCACAGAACCTATCTGCATGCCACCAGTCCAAAGCAGTGGGCACATATTCATACATGTGTCTCAAGGTCTCTATCATAACAGGAGCAAAATCTGAAGAAAAAAACAGAGTAGAGCGTGTGCTTCAGGAAACAGCCAGCCTGCAGGATGCACAGCGATGGGCAGAAGGCAGCGCAGTTGGCTGCACAAATGTAACTTTAGCTACAAAATAGAGACTCAGATAAGTTTTTTTACCTTCACTTCTGCGGTGGAACACTTTTAATGCATTGTTACTCTGTGCTGAATATTGCTTGTAAAAACACAGCAGTTCTGATGAGAACACTCACCCTTAGAAGTCTGATTCTCAGCAAGGGCTGCAGAGACAAAGAGGCTCCTAGATAGACTGAAAACCTGTTGGAAAGGGTGTTCTGTAACGCTCCCATAAAGCACTGACATTGTCTCAAATATTCACATTATTAACATTATTGTAAAACTCACCAGAAAGCTGAAGAACCAAGAATCAGGTCTCGAGTCTCTCATGCTGACCACCTGGCAAGCTTTCAGCCCTTGCTAGAACAAACAAGATATTAGTGGAGGTGCACTGCAGAGGCAGAAGCATTCCTCAGAAAGACAATCCTTGGACCAAGGCTGTTATTCTCAGAAGTCTGGAATTCAAACCAAGAAAAAGGCTCTCTGAGGCACCTTTCCTGGGTGTTGTCCCACCAATACAATTCTCAGTTCTCCTTGAAGAACAGAAAGTATCAGTCTAACATCTGTTTCCAGGATACAGAGTAATTAATGATAAAACATATATGGATGTGTGATATCAATAGACGGGCAAGTTAACCTCTTTATCTGCATTAACTAAATAAAAGAGCCATCATAATTACATCGTTAAGCAGTGCCAACTCATGGGTAGCTTTTCACATCTCTTTTAAAGTCCAAGGGAACACAGTTCTGGCACAGTTCCTGCTGACCTGCAGCCGCATCCTCCGCAGTGTGACACCTGTCTGTGCAGGGCATCCTGCTCCAGAAACTGGAGTGCAAGGCCGCGTAAAGCCAGCAAGGGCGTAGATAAGGGTTTGTAAAGAGACAAACATGGGAACTGGCAGTGCGACCTTCAGGGCAAACAAGCCCTACAGCTGTCTCTGAGCAGTGACACTGCGAGCTGCGAGTAATCTCTTTGCCCTCAATGGGACTCTCGCTGTACTGTGTGTACAGTAAAACTGTGGTAAAAGCACTTTGCTGCTAAGGGACTAAGGAGATGTGTTCTGAAGCCCTGACTCTAACAACGTTCTCAAATGGGTCTTCCTAAGTTCAGCAGCGACTTTACGAGCAGAGAGCACAGCTCCCCGCCCGACAGTGCTACCGGGGAAGTTTGGAGCGGGGGCAGTGAAATAAGCGGGATACGGGGGAGCTGGTAGCGATGCGGGGCGGGTGAGAGGGACAAATCCGCCAGAGCCGTCGAGGAGAACAGGGCGGCAGAGGGGCGGGCAGCGGGGCGCGGGGCTCGGCATCACCGCCCTGCTGCAGCGGGGGGCGGCCCCGCTCTGCCCCGCGGGGACACCGCGCTCCGCACCCCGCCGCCCGCAGCCCGCAGCCTACATCCCGCAGTCCCCCCCGCAGAGCGCCCAGCCGCCGGCCTCAGCCGTGACGCGCACCGGTGCCCGACGGCGGTGGCGATGCGGAACCCCGGGCGGAGCTGGGCTCCGACTCCCGGCCGCAACGGTGCCGGCTCCATGGCGCGCCCCGCGCCCCTACCCCGCATGCTGGAGGGGGCTCTTTCCAGGCAGTCGCCGCTCCGTGAAAGTCTCTGATAAGGCTACTGCAGGAAAGCTGGCCCCTGGCCCTGGCAGGAAAAAAGAGGCAGTGGGGAATTACCGGGGATCCTTACAGCAGCGAGCGTCGAACAGGAGCGTGCTCAGGAGATCCGTGTGAAGAAGATCGGCCCTAAAGGGATGACCGCAGCGCGGGGTGAGACAGGCTCACAAGAGACAGGAGCCCAGGCGGCACCGTCGGCGCAGCCCTGGAGTGACGTCCCTCAGCTTCACGTCGTGGCATCCCCTCAGTGCCGGGATCCCCGCAGCAGCCCCAGGGCCGGGACAGACCAGCGCGGAGCAGGCGAGGGCTGGAGGGCCACGGGCAGCGCCATGGGCAGCGCTGCAGCCGCCTCGCAGGGCCGAGCTGCCCTTTTGATTAATGCCCATTCACTTTTGCTACAGCAACAGGCGCACAGTTCCCGCTCCTCCCTCTCTGCGAATGCTTGAATCACACCATGGATTCACGGGCAACTGGCTTTTGTTTTTCAGGGTCTTCGTCCGGGAATGAAGGCAATTATCACATCTCAGCGCCTCTGCTTGCCGCAATAAATCTCCCACAGAAGAATGGCCCTTTGAGGCAGCTGCTCGGGGCTGCTTAGTCACCGCCGCCAGTTGGGAAGCGGCCCTGGCGCACACAGCGGCACACAGCATCCAGGGCCGCCCCGAGGGGCTCTGCAGCGCCCGGCAGCTCTGCCAAGCCTGCTCGGTGATGGAGGGAGCAGCATCCAAGTCCAGCCCGAGGACCTTCAGATGAAAAAGTGCAAAGTTCTTTTCAAACTTGCAGCTAGATAAAGTTTAATAAGAGTAGTTACCCCGCAGATAGCAAATTACCTTATTTATGCCCATGCTTCAGATTGAGTGAACCAACTTTTTGCAATGGCATTAACTGTAGTTCCCTGATAGAGTTAGAACTAGAATCCAGACCACAGCCTCCAGCCTCACTCCTCTTTATTACAGAAAGCATCCTCTCTGCACGTGCAGAGGTGAAGAAAAGTTTCCAGTGCTCAGTGAATGCTGCCTGAGTTTGCAACCTCATCTGCAAATGTTCTTTAGGTTTGACTTTAAACTAACTCCTATAATCACACACTAGGCTTTGGAAGGAACCAAGATCAGCTCTAGCAGGCTTTGTCAAGAATGCTTTGCAGGCATTGTAAAGGAAGAACAGCTGCTCCAACCACATGGAAGCTGGTACCTGGCACCTCACTGTCCTTTCACCTAAAGCCACACTTGCCCTGAAGGGCCCCAAAGCTCAGGTTCCCGAGCAAGTCCAGAAAGTGGGATCCCAGGCTTGGGCTGCTGGAAACCTCCTCTGGATGCCTCTGATCCCTGTAGCTGTCATGCAGCCACACACACATGCTGGCTGTGCCATCTGTTTGCTTCTTGCCATGGCAGCAGAGTCATCACCGCCAGTTCTGGTAATTCATCATTGTATCTGCACTAATTCACACAAAACAAATACTCAAGACAGTCAGCTGTCACCTTAAGGCATCTGCAGTTCCTAAGGTCAGCCTTTATTCCACACATCTCAAAATCAATTAGAAATAACAAAGTTCTTAGTGTTAAGAGATGTCCATCCAGTGCAAAAAGACCTTGGCAAGCAGAGGTATGACCTCAGGACAGTAAGATGGTGAAATTCCGGTGTACTTTTAATGCCTGCAAATCTCTTTAATAAGCAGATGAGCAAGGGGCAAAATGTGTTGTGCAGTTTGGGTGATGCTGTCACTCTGGGTTAGCTTATTTATAAATAGGTTGCAATTCTGTTTTCATGTAGTCAATTAAAAAAATCAGCTCAGGTGCATTTTAGGAAGTGTTATCCTTACCAGCTAGTAAACCCTGATCTACCACCCTCGAGGCACATCTTTCACACAACCCATGGAAGAGCTTCCCAGCACATGGGCTAGGAACATGTTAATCTTTATAAATCAAATAGTTGCCAAGTGGAGTAGAAAGCCATGTGTCTAAATAAGATGTATTGAAAAATGGCACAAAGTGATGTGTGTGTCAAAGATCACTAGGTCATGTTGCAAGCCTGTCCCTTGCAGAGTTATCCTTCAAAACATCTCCCTAGCCCAGCTGTAGGTGTTATTCTAGTCTGGTATTTGTTTATTAATAGTAAACAAAAATTAATAATAAACAAATTAATAATATGTTTATTTTCCCCACCTTTTACTGCACAAAACTGGTCACCTCTCTGACTCAGCTCCTCCTCGCTGAGTTTATTGCATCCCAAATTTTGTTTGAATTAAATTCATTAGAAACAGGGCTTGTCAAGTGCTGACTTAGGAGACACTGGGAGAGAAGATTCAGACCTACCTCCTGCCCATTAATTATTTCAGTTTCACAAATCTGAAAAACAGTTGCTACTGTTTGTGCTGATGTCTCACACTGAAATGAACGCTACAGTTCAATTATGTAGTTCAAAGATCCCTCGGTATCCTTATTGATCTGTATTTGGGGTTTCCCTTTGCTTCTGCAAGGGGCACTTGCCATAGGGCTTGGGCGGACCTGAAAACAACACTCTCCATCCTTACAAACCATCTTGAACTGTCTCACTATTTATTATTCAAAAAGAAAATAAGGCAGTCGCTTCTTCTCTGAGTACTTGAAAGGGGATGGTTGTGCTGTTTGTGAGTACGCAGGTAAGGATTTGAACCTTAGAATCATAGAGTCATGGAAAATCTGAGTGGAAAGGAACCCACGAGGATCACTGAGTCCAACTCCTGCCTCCATGCAGGACCACACAAAATTCAAAGAGAAAACCTTCTGCTTCCTCAAATTCAGACACTTTCTTGCTGAGCGCAGAGCCCAGATGTCTCTCACACGCCAAAATTAAAACTCCAGGCTGCTTTTACAGGCCACAAATACTTCTCCTTTTCAGTTCCACTAACAAAGCCTCCTATAAATGCCATCCACCCTAGCATAAAGCATTGCAAATTGGCAGTTTGTAACTTCCACAAATTAAACTCTGTGGCAGATTTAAGGCTGAGAATGGGCCATCTACCAGTGCAACAGCAAGACTACTAATGGATTTCTGAGCGTGTTCTCAGCTTGAATATTTGACATATCCCTGAATATACTTCTGTCCTTCCCACACCCCTGTAGGCTGGCTGTCCTGCTAACCCCTGCTGGTGGAAGGCCCATGGTGCCTGGCTCTGCTCCTGCAGCACCTCCAGGTCAGCTCTCTTGAAAAAAGACCCTCAGTACTTAGCAAGAAATTAATCAATATTTGGACATCTGCACTGCAGTGATCCACTCATGGCACAACTTTCCATTGCTCCAGCCCAGGACATCCCATCTCACTCAGAGGAAGCCATTAACTTGCTTGCTTGAATGTTAACTCTCACATGGACTGAGCTATCGGAAGCATCAGTGTCTGCAAAAATCTACACAATTCATTCACCACCTCTGATGAAGACACAGGATCACCACTTAACATCCCTGCACACATCACCCCAAAGACTGGTCTGTAGTTACGCAGCCAAGCAGCGGGCAGAGATGCACAACTTGCTCTTTGGAATTTGGGCTGTGGATGCCATTTCACATTCACAGCTCTGCAGAGACACAAGTATGTCCAGCTAATTCTTCAGGTTTCCAAACGAGTTTCTTTATTCTGTACAATAAAGGTCTGCAGTGACTTGCTTTTATGGCCAGACACCCACATGAGTGGCAGTCCCATTATTCATCAAGTTCTATTTTCTCTCCCACTCTCCTCCCAAGTCTGTCACA